GGGTTTAGGGGTTTAGGGTTAAACCTCAACCCTTAACCGAACATGAACTGGACACAAAGCACAGGGCATGTGGCAATGCAGCTAGGGGATCTCACGAGAAACTTCCTGGATGTTGAAGCAGGTCAGCCAGGGCCCATCAAGGTGGGCCGCCACATGGTCCAACAACTCGACCTGGATGGGAACCTATTAAGGCCATGGCTGCCATCTACTTACCGTAAATGTGGAATTACTCTCATGATTCATAAATCCTTGTTGTTCTTGCTGCTTGCATGAAAATGACTGTTGCTAACAGGCCCATGGTTTCCGGCTACCGCGAAGACCACGACCATCCAGAACCACAAGGAGCTTGCTGCATGCTTCATTGCATGGGAACCTGAGGAGCAGTTTTCAACTGAGGCTTCGCTACCCCTCCATCGGATCATCGGCTCTGAGGACCCATGACTCCTCTTTGGACGTTCAGGCTTTGAATTGCTATCAGTCGAGTCTAGAGCTTGCGATATTCTACACATCATGCCCTTGTGGGTGCCGTCAACCAAAGCCCCAAAATCCGCAATCCAGGAAGCCGCCTTAACTCCCAGAACCTACTTCAATAAACTTAGTCCCCTGTACTTCAAAGTGCCCGTGCGCCGAGTTTTCTCTGACCGAGCAAGCTTCTAGATTCTAGTCCCGCCCCTGCTCGAAAGGGCTCCTGATTTCTACAGGGTTCTTGGAAGGATGCTTTTGCAGTTGTTAGTATATATATTTATATAGTTCTGACTCTTGTAGCTTCCCTTCGGGGTTTTGGGTTCCAAACAGCTTTCCCAAACCCTGGTTGTAGCCAGAAAAGTGGGCGGCAGGTCTATCATTCTAGTGAGAAGGGCTTGATGCTGGATGTCTGCCAAGATAGGTGGAGGCGAGCTAGAGAACATCACCTGATTCGTGCAGAAGCAGGCGTTACCTCGGAGAAGACAAGCCGTGCTTAGCTTGTAGTTTATCAGGATATAGCGAGGAAGTTCCCACAGCGTCAGGAAAAGCCGACCCCGACACTTTCAGAGTGTGATTGAAAAAGACATGAAATACAACACCTCCGGGCATGGGGATCGTATGCTGCCATGCTAACATTCAAGATTCGCGGTGGCGTGCACTATAAGGCTCCATAACTCCAACCCCCACAGTTGAAGGCAACCAGCCGAGCATAGGGCATCACGCAGCTGCTTGCGTGCCAAGCTTGAGAGCACGAGGCTGATGTTTCTGGCAATGGAGAAAGCGGCCCGTTGGCCATGGGAAGGCGCGTAACGTCACGGGTTAAACTACGACAACCAGGATTCTGGAGGGCCGTTGGGCATATCCAGACCTTCTTCACAGAGTCAAGAGAATGCTCCGAGCCAGAAATCTAGTGACCATACCATACCCTTTCAAGTTGGCTTATTGCCAGCCGGACCCAGAAGCACGGAACCGATCAATATAGCATATTCCCAAAAGGCACTGCTCAGGTTCAGCAGCCGATGCCACATGTCTACTGCATAGAAACAGATCTCGAACCATGGTGGGGCAGTAGCGCACTAAACCCTGCACAGCTAGAGACGCCATCAGATGCAGAGTAGCTCTGGCCTTGGCGACTGCTGCTTCAGGTGGTAAAAGAGTTCTGAGCAGATCTCCGACCAGAATTTGCGGTCTCCTCGCCACTTTCTGTCTAAGCTTCTCGTCTCAGTGTTTCAGACAAACTGAACGAAGAGTCTGTCCTGAATTTCAATGTCGCCCGCCCCCAATAAGCAGTCCCCTTTTCGTCCAACGGCCCACCTACCGCCAACCGCAGCCCTCCTGGGTAGAGCTCTGAGTTGGTGCCGTCTGCCTGCAACACTCCACGTAAAGGCCATGCTAGGTATATGGTGACGTGATGACAGGCCGGAATGATGATGATGGTGATGAAGATGGTAAACTATAGTGATGACCATGGCGACTGTCAGGACAGGGATTGCGATGGCGCCGATGGTGCAAACCACTATGGTGGTGGTGGCGGTGGTGATCGTGTTGGTGCCTGTAGTACTTTCATGTACTATCAGAATCTCGTTGCCTTCGAACAGTACATGAACATTCTCATGACGGCTCTGAACTGCGTCAGGATGGCTACACTACCTCCGCAACCCTGCTGTGGAAGCAGAGGAATTCTTTTTTGGCGCCTCAGTTCTCTGCTCAACTCTGAGAAACGCAGCACCTCTCATTGAAACGGGCTACGAGAGCAAGGCTTTAAACAGTCGAAGATCTGCGGCTGGTTCAATGCACAGCATCGCTCAGGGAGCTCATGCTGCCGTGCACCGCGTCACTCAGTGAGCCCATGCTGCCTAGGGCAGAACGTGAGGCCACTGGCAAATGTGACTTAAAATGGTAGTTGGATGGTGGAACACCCGAATACACTCCGCAGAAAGATCGCACTTTTTCACAAAAGCTCAGTAGTGTAGCTTTATCTCCATGTCTGCCCGAACCATGGCAGATTCTCTGGGAGTCCTTCTCCAGCTTCCGGAGCTGCAGCTCTGCTTGGTGCAACATCAGCCAAAAGTCAGAGCATTCCTCCAAAATCTGGCTCATGTAATCCAAGTGCAAAAGTGTCAGTTCCAGATACTTCTGTGACTCTTCGTTCCCTTCTTGAGGCTCGAGAGCCAGGTTGGGTGGAATTTGGCACTCCATGCTCCCGTCTTCTTTCTCGGAGGGTTCCGGAAGAAGACTCATCACCGTCTGATCCACTGTGACCTGTGTGCAGTGCCCCATGTACTGTACCTGCGTGAGCAAATCAATATAGTCAGAGCGGATTCCCTGTGTCTCCTTTCGCAGAGTACCTAGGTTGCCACTAAGCTCAGCTATGCAATCGGAGAGCTCAGTACTTCCGTGACCCCGTGCCGCCCACAGCAGTGTCGGAAGCTTCTCTAAAGCGTTGCAAGCTGTAGTTGCCAGTTTGCACGCGACCGTCTGTGCGGAACAGACAAGCTGCACGATTTGAATTTCAGTCTGTCCGGCACAACTTAGCAAGTCCTGGTCTGTGAGAGAAATGCAACTTAGCACAATCTGGAGGTGACCGGTGATAGCGTCGCTGAAAACTTTCAAGTCTTTGGTGCTATCCTTCGGCTGGTAGAAGGGGATCCCGCCCTGGAAGGAACTGTTGGAGCTCGAGGAAACTTGCGATCCACTGACCTGTCGGTTGAAAGACAAGCCAGTACTACTCACGACCGCTGAACCTTGAAATTGGGATCCCCAGTCTCGAGGGCTCGTGCCCCCAGAGGCATTCATACTTCGCACCGAGACAAGATCTGAGCCAAAATGGCTCCAAAGAACATGCATCATTTCCATTCATAGTGCTCTGCTGCTTTGCTAAACCCTAAACCTTAAGGTTTAAATGCCTGCAACCGTACAAAACTCCAAAGCCAGGTACCACGACAGATCCTCTACTGGCTTCCCGGCGACCTACAGAACTGAACGTGTGCCTTAGCCTGTATGCCCCAAAGTGCGAAGTCAAGACCCCAAGCCAATAATATAGGGGCCTGAATAATTACCTCTACTAATTTGGGGGCTCCTGAGTATAATTATAGTATAATGGGCCCCCAAACCCTATTCTAATTATTAAGGCCCCTCCATTATAGAACCATTATAGCACTCCTTCTAAGGAGCCCTTTAGAGGAACCCTATTCTAATTATTAAGGCCCCAAGCCACTAGGACCCCTAAGACCTCCCTAAACCCTAAACCCTTAAACCCCCAAAAACCCTAAACCCCTAAACCCTAAACCCTAAACCCCTAGAGCCAGCGCCTCGGGAGCGCCCTGCAGCGGCTGCTTCGAGGCCCTGCTCCAGAAACCCGAAGTTCAATCCATTAGGGCTCCATAGCGGTTCCTTAAAAGGCTCTATAAGGGTTTTTTTGGCCCCTACTTAGCAGCAGCTCTATAAGGGTTTAGGGTTTAGGGTGTAGGTCGATGAAGGTTCGATAAAGGATTTAGCGAGACAGCAGCGAGCGGAGAAAGAGAAACAGAAAGACACATGGCATATGCATTGGTGCATGTTGCCGCAGTGCGCACAGGGAAAATCACGAATAGGCCAGACGATGCTCAGTCGGTTGCTGCTCTTGTTGCTGTTGCGCGTGCACCTGTGTCGTCGTTGCTACTGTCTGCGTCGTTGCTCTTGCTGTTTCTACTTTGTTGCTGGTCTAAGTATGACAGGTAAATGCTGGTAGAAATAATGATTGAGGATGCTGTTGTTGTTGTTGCTGCTGCGGCTCCTGCACCGAGGAGGTGCTGTTGCCTCGAAATAGATCGAACGACGTGCAATCGCTTGGTGCTGAAACAAGCCTCCAGAGCCCAGACTTGGGCGTGTTTCTTTTTCACCCTATTTGCATGTGACCACTTGCGTGCCAAACCCTAAACCGATTGAACCTTGGGCACTAAAGCCATTCAAACTTCAAGCCCGATAGACCATGTGCGATTTGCCTTACAACACTGGACCCCGCGTAACAATCAATGCCAAGGCCTCATAAGCCCACATCCATGAAACCACCGAAACGCTAGAACTCTCAACGCTAAACCCGAAAGCCTGAAACCCTCGCTGGAAAAGTATATGCATTGGCGGGTGCTGGCTTGGCTGGCTGGACTTAGCCGTCTGGAGTAGTGTACAAGTGGTCTTGGCCTTACCACCAAAACAAACTAGAAACCTAATCCTGCAATCTTAAATGGGGGTTTCCGAAAATAGGGGACCCTAATATCGTACCCTAAATAGTAGGGTCCTTACTATAAGGACCTTATTTTCGAAACTCCGAAATCCTTGAACACTAACATCCGCAAACCCTAAACCCACAAAAATCCTGAAGCCCGAAATACTAAACCCTAAACCCAAAAGCCGCAGACCCTAAAGCCCGAAAGCCATAAACCCTATATAAGCCCTGATAAAAGCTCCAAGCCCTAAGCCTACACCCCTAAAGCTCCAAGCCCTAGACGGCCCTAAACCCTTTCCCTACAAGCCTAAACCCTTTTTTTGAACCCAGACTCTGCCAATCAGCTGGGAAGCAGCACGTCCAGATTATTGCATCTGGTAAGTAGCGCCGCCAAACTCAAACCTAAATCCCTGAACACGCGAGTCCTGCAAAGTCTATCGCGTAATCATCCGCACTGCCTAAACCCTAAACCCTAAACCTCAAACCCGAAATTGTGAAACCCTAAACCCTAAACCTTAAACCCTAAACCCTACACGCTAAGCCTTAAACCCTGCCGAATCCGGGCCTGAGAGCCACGTCGCCAAGGCCCTGCTTGAACTTCGCTCGGGGGATCTCCGAAAGCGCGGGGCCATGGGATCCTCGGGGCTCGATCTCTTTTAGGTAAAGGAAACTACAGGTGGG